TATGCTATCAAGCTCAATGAGCAAAATTGACTCGTGCGATGCCGTCATATTAGCGTAAAAAACCAAGAGAACAGTGGTTTAAACATTGGATTAAAAAATACACTATATACTCAGAAAAAAATTATCTCCCAAGTATTTGGGTCTAAAAGTGATTGTAGAAATGGGTGGGTTTAAAAGTAAATGGGGAACTTTGGGTTTATAGGTAAAAACCCTTTCTTTGAAGTGTGTGGATTTATAAATAAATGAGGGTAGAACTTTGGGCAAAAAGTCAATCTATTGATGGAGCATTAATATGAAAAAGCCAAAAATTTTAATAATTTAAGCATTTGCTCTAGATATACACAAGATACCTTGCCACTTACAACAAAAATATAGCAACTTACAACAAAAACTACCTTAACTGTATGCCAAACTGCTAAAACACAAAGTGGATTCAAAAGTAATCCGATAGATTATTTTGGGTCTAAAGAGCAATTGCGGACAGGGGTGACAAACTTTTTTGAAAGTGAGTGGGCGTAAGAATAAATGAGGGTAAGATTTTTTGGGTTTGTAGGCAAAAAATCTAGATACACCTCTCACTTCCGTGACATTAGTGGGATAAAGGGGAATTTTTTTAGCATTTAGTTTAAAAATACACTGTACACCTAACAACTTAGAGCAAAATATAGCAAGTTATTACAAAATAATGTAAATAATCGTATAGCAAACTATTGAAATACAAGGTGGACTTAAAAATAAATTGATGGACTATTTTGGGTCTAAGAGTTAATCTGGAAATGGGTGGGTTAAAAAATAAATAGAGGCAAAACTTTGGGTCTATAGGTTAAGACACCCTCTATACCTTTTTATATATACCTTTATACTAAAGTTAATGGAAGGTACTATTCACAAGCACTCTTCATCTTCCATTAACTTTTCAGTGATAAAAATCAGTTGTGAGCGTAAAGAGTTGTCTAGTTGGTGGTGACGTTGAGTGTTTAATACCAACATGATAGTTCGCTTTACCCATATATTTAGTTCACTGTACCCATATATCTATACGCTACAGTGCAATAGGCTGCTTATTTTCTGTTATAGAGTACAAGAGCAGTGGAGGTTTTCTTTCCCTTGGCTGCCGCTGTTGGTACCGGATTAAGATGCATGTTTTAAATGGCTAAGGTCGCAAACGGTTTGATGATCTTTTTATTATCAGTTGTAATCTACTTAAAGATGAGAATCCCAGACATTTAGTCACCGTTTTCTATCCTTGTTCTGGATTTTGCCAGATGGAGAAGGATCGGCCGTTACCAAAGTTTGGAGATTGGGATGTTAATGATCCTGCTTCAGCTGAGGGATTTACTTTTATTTTCAACAAAGCCAGAGACGAAAAAAAGACTGGTGGGAATACACCAAAGCCGGATTCTCCAGCAAAGGAGGGGACTAGCTTTAAACAGGGGTCATATTCTAAGTCTAATAATGTGAGCTCCCCCTTCCTCTCTCTCCCACTAGTACATGCAGCATATAGAACTGCAGTTTAGTTCAGGACATTGATTACAAGAGAATAACAGTATCATATGATATGAGTGGATTCTCTAACATACAGTGATGCGGCCGAATCTCCTCACATGCCATATGATATCGGAGATCCAGCCTTATCGCTATATATGAGAGAAGCCCCTTACATGATATCTATCATTTTCTTGTTATAAAGTGGTATCTGTTGCAAAATGAGGGATTAGTTTATCTTTTCTTCTTTTGTTTTTTTTTCACTTCGCGTTTTCATTGTGATATTTACTACAAATGTGCAGAAGAAATGGTGTTGCTGCATGCAAGCAAGTCCGACAGAATCCTGAGATGCATAATGATATTTAAGAAGTAATATTTGCGGGTTTATTTTATTTCGAGAAAAAAAGTTTCCTGGTGGATGATAATCCGTGGGGAAATGTTTGGATCAGAATTGTCTTTTGTGCATTGTGTGCAGTGAGGAAGAGATGCAAAGAAGATGGTGATGGGGAGGATAAGAAAGGGGAAGTGATTTCTCTTTAAATTAGTACGTGTATATGAATATAGCCTATGGTTGCTTGCTTTTATCTGTATCTTCTCAATTTGTCGGTCATCATGGAACTTGTAACTCTACCTTATATATATATATTTCCGAAGATCTTTATTTGTATTAAAGGAGGTTTTACGGGCAGCTTTAAGATTATAGCCAAGTCGCTAACTAGTCAACATGGGATGTGTTCAAGCTAACATGCCCGCCCGCATGGATTTCATGCGAATGAAATTTGGTTCCTTTTACTGCTGTTTTGACTCTTTCAGGTGCGAGAAACGTCAGTTACCTCTGTGAAGAGCGCAAATGGCAACTACATACACGAATCATATCATCGCACAGTTTAGAACGAATCATATCGTCAAAACCTTTGTTTTAAGGAATGCTGACATTATTTCTCCGTTGTTGTTTTAACATATGATTTTCCTTCTTCATGCGTTGATTCTTTTACTGGCTCGTATGCGCATGTGTACGTGTAACTCGATGAAGTTGCAGATGCATACATGTATTATACTAGCTCTTAACATATCTCACCTATGCTAATAAAATTTGTTTAGACACTAGATAACGCTGTACGTGCAATCTGTATCAATGTTAGCCGTGTCGCCTCCGTATGTTGGGTATAATATTAAAATTTAAGAGCTAGTTTATATTATTTTTTTTTATTTCAGTTTTCTTATAAATTTACGATGATGGGCTCATATTCGCTCATAAGTTTGTTCAATCATGAATTCCATTTTTTTTCACATTATATATGATGATTTTTTTTATTTTTGTGTCTGGGGCCACGTTTTAGAAATGCTTTCAGAGGACGAGGATAAAAGTTTGTGATAAGCTAGACATAATGATCAATCAGATCTATGCATTAAAAAAATTCCTTCCACCACCTTCCCATCTGTAACTAACCCACTTCTCCACCGCGGAGGCCGTGAGCATGAAAGGAATAAAGCGTGCAAGCAATTTGCACAAGAGAGAGCCAACAGAAAGTCTTTAAAAGGTAAACTTGCAAGAGAGGGGCAGAAGCCTGTTCAGTGCCAAACTTGCACTACTACCAGACACCACCATCCCCAGTCTCCAAACAAAAGATTCCCAATTAGACAGGTAGCGCCATTTTCGTCTACAAAAAAAATGCATTTAATGCATAATCGATCTACGAAGACTCGGAGAACGGGCATTCATAAGAGTGAGACATTTTCAGAAGATCCACAAAGACTCAAGTTCATAGGTGCAATTACAACCTTAATAATCAACAACCACGTTAAGCCATAACAATTTAGATAATGCCGGACTCAATGGCACAATAATTAAAGAAAAAGAAAGACTTAAACTCGTGAGGTGCCTAGTTTCCGTTCAAAGAGGCGACGCAAGAGGTAAACTTGCAGAACGCTTGCTCCTACAAGGGCAGCCGATTCGAAGAGTGCCTTGTGGATTGCTCTCCTGCTCATACCCTCGTTCACTGTATCAAAATCACAAGGAACAGATTGATTTTATAGTAGAAATATGATCTCCATTATATTTAAGTTTATGAATAGCGCAGTCCAATATAGAAAATTGTACAGAGTTCGTGAATTCAGCCAACATATTTACAGTGCATCAACCAGAAATAAGTTTTTGTTTGAACACAGCACGACAAGGACATGAAGAATAGAATGTTTATCATACTTGAAGACAGTAAAGTAAGTTGAGACCAGGTTTACCTATTTCATTTTTAAGTCCTGTTGAATACAATAAATTGGCGTATTTTAAAAATTCGCAATTTTCATCGGCTACCCATGATTTTTGTCAATTTTCATTCATTTCGACCCAATGATAATTAAGTTTTTTTTCATAAAAAATCACGATTTTCATGGGTTGTAACCTACAAATTTGGTTATAACCCACAAATTCTTAAAATAGTTTTGTCTGATTCATTACAATAGCAAATAATTGGTGTACATCAAAATTTGAAAAAAATTACATAGGCTAATTCATGATTTTAATCAATCTTCATTCGTTTCGATCCAATGCACTTATGACTTAAGTTTCTTAAAAAGTTTCAATTTTCATGATTTTCATGGGGCTATAACACGCGGTTTTTGTCCACTTTCTGTCCACCTTCAGTTGTTCCAACCATATGGCAACTTAGTTTTCTTTTCGTAAAATTCATGATTTTCATGTACTATAACTCACAAATTTGTCCGACTTCATCCATTTCGACCTAATGGAAATTAACTAGTGTACTTTAATGTTTATAGACTATAACCCACGATTTTTGTCCATTTTTATCATTTCAACTCAATGAAAATTAAGTTTTCTTTCGTCAAAATTCACCATTTTTATGGACTATAATCCATAATTTTTTCCATTTTTACCTGCTTTGACCGAATGGCAATAAATTGTCGTACTATAAAATTCACAGTTTCAAGTGCTGTAATCCACAATTTTAGTCAATTTTTTATCGTTTCACGCCAACATCAATTAAGTTTTCTTTCTTCAAAATTCACGAGTTTCATACTAATTTTCTTTCTATAAAAAGTTGCAATTATAATGACAATTAAGTTTCTTTCTTAAAAGTTGCATTTTTCATGATTTTTATAGTTTCGACTCTGATGAAAATTAAGTTCTCTACCATCAAAATTCACCACTTTCATTGACTATATAACCCACAATTTTGTCAACTTTCATCTATTTCTAGCAAACGACAACTAATTGTCGTACTTAAAAATTTGCAATTTCATGTGATATAAACCATGATTTTAGTCCATTTCGATCATTTCATGTGAACAACAATAAATTTCTTCAAAATTCACAATTTTCATGGCGAATAAGTTTCTTTCTTAAAAGATGTAATTTTCATGATTTTCATGGGCTATAACACGTTATTTTTCCATTTTCGGTTGTTTCAAACGTATGGTAACTTAGAATTCTCTTGCAAACTTCATGATTTTCATGGACTATATTAACTCAAAAAATTATTTGTTCTCATTATTTCAACCTAATGGTAATTAACTAGTGTACTTCAAATTCGTAATTTTCATGGGATATAGAACATGATTTTTGTCCATTTTTTTTATTAATTCGGCCTAATAAAAACTAGTTTTCTTTCCTCAAAATTTACCATTTTCACGGACTATAACCCGCAATTTTCGTCCACTTTCATCAGGTTAGACCGAAAGGCAATTAATTGTCATACTTAAAAATTCGTAGTTTTCATGTGGTATATAACCTACAATTTTAGTCTGTTTTCGAATCGTCTCGCATCAATAATGATTAAGCTGTTTTCTTCAACGTTCACAATCTTCATGGCAATTAAGTTTTTTCTTAAAAATTTACAAATTTTTATAATTTTCATGGGCTATATCACATGGATTTTGCCCATTTTTGGTTGTTTCAACCCTATGGCGACTTAATTTTCTTCTACAAAATTCATGATTTTTATGGATTATAACCAACAATTGTGTCTATTTTTTCCGTTTCGACTCAATGAAAATTATGTTCTCTATCCTCAAATTTTATCACTTTCATCGACTATAGCTACAATTTTGTCCATTTTCATCTATTCAACCAAATAAATAATTGTCATACTTAAAATTGCTTAAAATTCACAATTTTATGTTTCATAACCCACGATTTTAGTCCATTTTCAACCATTTCATGCCAACAGCAATAAGTTCTCTTTCTACAAAATTCTTTAAAAAGTTGAGATTTTCATGATTTCAATGGGCTATAACATATGATTTTTGTCTATTTTCGATTGCTTCAACCATATGGCAACTTAGTTTTCTTTCCGAAAATTTCATAATTAACATGGGCTATAACCCATGAGTTGTCCATTTTTGGTTGTTTCAACCTAATGGAAACTAACTAGTGTACTACAAAATTCGTAATTTTCATGGGCTACTACGCATGATTTTTGCCTATTTTTGGTTGTTTCGGCTCAATGAAAATTAAGTTTTTATTCCTCAAAATTTACCATTTTCATGAACTAAAACCCATAATTTTTGTCCATTTTCGTTTGGTTCGACGGAATGACAATTATGTGGCATACTTAAAAATTAGCAGCTTTCATGTTATAACCCATGATTTTAGTCCATTTTTTTACTATTTTCATGCCACTTAAGTTTCTTTCATAAAAAGTTACATTTTCATGATTTTAATGGGCTATAGCACGGTTTTTGTGCATTTTCGATTGTTTCAACCCTATGACAACATAGTTTTCTTTCTGCAAAATTTATGATTTTTATGGAGTATAACTCATAGATATATCTGTTTTCATCAATTTCGACCTAATGGAAATTAACTAGTGCACTTCAAAATTCGTAATTTTCATGGGCTACTATTATAATTTCCTCCCATTTTGATCGTTTTGGCCCAATGAAAATTAAGTTTTTATTCGTCAAAATTCACCATTTTCAAGGACTATAACCCACATTTTTGTCCACTTCCATTTGGTTTGACTGAACGCCTTCTATTATCGTACTTAAAAATTCATAATTTTCATGTGCTATAACCGATGATTTTAGTCCATTTCTGGTGGTTTCGTGCCAATAGCAATTAAGTTTTATTTCTTTCATGAATTTCAAGCAGTTAAGTTACTTTCTTAAAAAAACTACAATTTTCATGATTTTCATGGGATATAATACAATGTTTTTGTCTATTTTCAATTGTGTCTATCCTATGGCAACTAATTTTCTTGTCTACCCTATGACAACTAATTTTCTATTCACAGAATTCATGTTTTTCAAGGACTATAACTCACAAATTTAACTATTTTCATCCATTTCGACCTAACTGCAATTAACTAGCGTACCCTAAAAAATCGTAATTTTCATGGGTGAAAAGCTATAACCTATGGTTTGTCCTTTTTCCTCAAACTCACTATTTCCATGGACTATAACTCACAAATTTGTCCATTTTCATCTGCTTTGATTGAATACCAATTAACTATCGTACTTAAAAGTTCACAGTTTTCCTGTGTTATAACTCATAATTTTAGTCCATTTTTGATCTTTTCATGCCAACAGCAATTAATTTTTTTCCTTCAAAATTCATAACTTTCATGGCAGTTAAGTTACTTTCTTAAAAATTTATAATTTTCAAGATTTTCATGAGCTATATAATACGGGTGTATCTTCTCTTCGAAAGCTTAGCGATTCTTATGAGAGCTTGAGGATAGATGATTCTCATGATAGCATGAGAATAGGGGTGTAAAACAGTACAGTGGAACGCAAGTGAAGCATGGAACGAGACGACGAGCAGCAGATTCAAAGAATCCAGTTTTCAGCTCGTAAGTCGACTCATACATGATCATGAGCCGACTCATCAGGTTGAGTCGACTCATGCCTGTCATGAGTCGACTCACGAAATCAAGCCCTGTTAGCAAAAGTCTCTGACCAGTCGACTCATCAGTTATGAGTCGACTCATATGAGGTCATGAGTCGACTCATAACTGATCATGAATCGACTCATCGATAATTTCCTGATTCGTTTGGGTTTCTGTTCACACAAATTCCTGTTGGTTTTAGGCTTGGTTATTTATCAGATTGCCATCCACGTTTGTACACCTATATAAATGGTTGTTTAGGGTTTCTAAACATCGGATCATCTTAGAGATCTTAGATCAGAGAGAAATTCTAATCATTGTATTAGGGTTTAGAGAGGATTGAGGGGTTATTCTCGATTCTAGTGAGATTGTGAGGGAGACATTTGTAATAATTGATTCTTCATAATCTAGAGAATGTATTTTCTTTCGCCATACTGAATTATTCTTGTGTTTTGGTTGTCTCCTTCTCAACCCACCTTTTGATAATTCCACAACCAAAGGGTGCTCACACGACAACTCGTATCAAGTTGGTATCAGAGTAATCAGATCCGGTGAAGGGGTATTCTGTGTATGGTCCTGATTCGATCGCAATACAAGAAGCTTGGCGATATCCTTATTTCCTTAGAAGAAGTCCAGAAGATAAGGAAGGAGAAGATGGCTGAAGGAGACAATTCAGTAAGGATTGATGCATTGGAGAAGCAGATCGAGACGATAGGTTCGACTCGCACACAACTCGTCAGTCTTATCCATGGAGGTGGCAAACAAGGTAAATCTTCTTCGAAGAAAATTATTGAGTTCGATGTGAAGAGAGTAGATTCAGATTCCGACGAGGAGGAGACTGTTAAGGCAGCATTTCATCAAAGGGGTAAGAATTCTTATCAAAACCTGAAGATTGACTTCAAGGTGGAGATTCTTGTTTATGATGGGAGTGAGGGGTAAGAATTCTTATCAAAACCTGAAGATTGACTTCAAGGTGGAGATTCTTGTTTATGATGGGAGTGTTGACGTCGAGAGGCTTGATTGGAGATTCTTGTTTATGATGGGAGTGTTGACGTCGAGAGGCTTGATGACTGGATCGAGCGGATGGAGACATATTTTACCTTTTATGGCTATTCGTCAAAAGAAAAGATTGTGTTCGCGACTTTGAAGCTTTC